TTTATCTGTTTCTATTTCTTCACCAATTGGCTCATCATATTTTGAACCTACTTCAGCAAATGGTTTTTTTAATATTCCATTTCAATTCTTTCTTTTTTCTTAATTTGTGCTTTTCTACTTTTAAGTTTTCTTTTTCTAATTCAATTTTGTAGCTATTAAATTATCAATTATACCCTAACTAACATTTCTTCTAATTCTTCAATTTTCTTTTTTAATTTTATTAATTCTTGATTATTTTCAGGTACTTACTTGAATTCCTTTTAATACTACCATAATATATTATGACTTTAAATTTTTTACATATTAGAACTATTTTACTACATAAATTTGGATAAATTTACATATACAGTTCTCTCTCTATAACGTACCTTATGTGTAATTTTTTTACTTCTATTCATTATAGAGAGCATTTACTAAAATGTTCATTATAAAGAGAGAAATTAATATAAAAAATTGAACTGGAAATAAAAATGAAGTTCATTATAGAGAGTGTGAGCTGTAACTATGTTACATACAATAGATGAGGGAATTTATTTATAAATTGTTAATGACATTATTTATTAATTTTATGATTTTAATAACAAGGATTCCTGATTAATGAGTGACAGGTTAATAAAACCAAACAACTCTTCATTACAGTTTCACTCTCTATAATGGACCATTTAGCTTACAAAAAATGTCTGTAAAGACTTCCTAAATTTTGCACAAATTAAAAAAATAGCATGATTAGTTGATAGAATAGGCCTTTAGTTTTAATGTAATAACGTGATTTTCTCAAAAAATTATTTGTTGTAGAGTTTTAGTACATGTATTTTACTATTATATACTACTGCATAATTGATTATGGTCAAAAAATTGCATTGTTGTATTGATCATCAGAATTTATGATTCATTGTGCATAATTCACTTTTATTGTCGCATAAATTCATCATCCTTGACTTGATATTTTTTGGTTTTGAAGGATGTGTCGTTTTTTTAATAGTTGTCGTTTATTTACAAAAATGATCAGTACTAATAATAATAAGGTATTTTATTCAAAAGTTATAAATATATATATATATATACACACACTTATATATATATTAATAATTTACTAGGTTTATTTTCATACCTCTGTAAAAACAGTATCAACTACAACTTCCAGTTTTTCCACCATCTCTACTAATAATAATAACAATGTTATTGTAAGAATTTATTAAGATTGAGATATATATATATTTTTTTTTTTGCTTAATTAATGGTTTTATTTATTTATTTTTAAAAAAGAATCACAAAGTTGGAGTTATTGGAGCAGGACAAATGGTTTTTCTAATTAATTAATTAGTTAATATTATATTTATTTGAATAATAGATTAAAATATTTTATTGTTAATTAAATAAAATTAGGGATTGGGAATTGCATTTGTAATTGCAAATGTTAGTCGTTTACCTGTTAAAATCATGGATTCAAATCCAAATCAAATTGAAAAAGCATTGAGATTTATTGGTCTGATTTGAAAAATTACATATTAATTTCTCTCAGTTTTTTTAAAAAAGTTTATAATATGAACATATATAAATTCTTCTTAGATGGCCTACTTGAGAAAGACATTAAAAAAAATCAAATTACAGAAGAACATGCTAGTTTAACAAAATCATTAATTAAAACAACAGAAAATATTTCAGGGTTAAGTGAAATGAATTTTGTGATTGAAGCAGTACCAGAAAATCTAGAATTGAAAAAAAAGGTGTTTATTGATCTGGATAAGTCAACTAAACCAGATACAATTCTTGCCACCAATACTAGTAGTATTAGTATTACTAAAATTGCAGCAGTTACAAATAGACCACAGAAGGTAATAATGAATTGGATGGATACAAAGAAAAGAAAGTCACTATTCTCAAAATAATCTTATGTTTGTTTAGGTGATTGGTATGCATTTTATGAATCCAGTGAGTGTGATGAAATTGGTTGAAATTATTCCTGGTTTAGCCACATCAGATGAAACTTTTGATACAACCAAAAATTTAGCTATTTCCATGGGTAAAACATGTACATTGTCAAAAGATGTACCGGGATTTATAGCAAATAGATTATTAATGCCTTACATTAATGAAGCTATTATGGTATTAGAACAGGTAAAGTTTTTTTTTTTCAAAAAAATCAATTCAGAAATAAAAAATAATAACTACATTAACCATAAATTGTCTAGGGCATAGCAACTTGTGAAGATATAGATACCACTATGAAATTAGGTACAAATATCCCAATGGGTCCTTTAACTTTAGCTGATTTCATAGGCCTTGATACATGTTTAGCAATAATGAAGGTGTTACATACAGAGATTGGTGATACTAAATATAGGCCAGCTATTTTATTACAAAAATATGTTGATGCTGGTTGGTTAGGCATAAAGAGTGGCAGAGGATTTTACATGTATCAAAAAAATTAAACAGTTACTGTTACACAATATTGATGAGATAAATTTGTCTTCATAAATTTCCTTTTATTATCTCTATTTTTTTTTTAAAATAATATTCTTGTTGTAACTGGCCCAAACTGCATTGACAGTGATAACAAAGAAAAGTCGTAATAGGTCATCATGTCTTCACCAAACCAACATTTCAATGATGCCAATGGTTATGAGATCCCTTTGTCTCATAATAATGATTACTCTAATTGGAGTGAAGATTTGGTGACCTCAGAAATAATTCCTCCTTCCTCTTCTGCAATTTCGTCTCCCATCATAACAAATAATGATGACTTTGCTCCTTTAACTTCAAAAATTAAATTACTTTCTTCAACTTCCACTGCTTTAAAACCAATTCAACCAACATTTACTAAAAATATTATTCCAGATTCAAAAATCACATCAAACTGTTTGAGTAATTTAACTTCCACTAGTCAATTTTCATTTTCATCATCATCAGTAGTTGAAGAAACTAAAGAAAACTACTGGTGGTCAAAAGAGAAAGGTTGAAGGTATAGAAGAAAAAGAACAAAGACAATGTGAAAGGTGTGATATCATCATTCCATTATCAATTAATCAACGAAATAATTCATTAATTGATTTTTTGATAATAGAATACTTTGAAATCAACATGCAGCACAAATATCAAGAGATAAAAAAAGAAAACAAATGACTGATTTAGAGGCACAGAACACAGTTCTTAAAGAAGAAAATATACATTTATCAAAAAGATTAAAGACTCTAGAAGAAGAAAAATCAGTTTTATTAGCTAAATTAGATACAATTTTAGAGCAATTTGCAAAAATTCGATCGCAACTTTCTGTTTCCAAGATGAATAAAGTCTTAGTTGATGATGTTCACGGATCAGCAGTATCTGCGACCTTGGAAACTTCAGATTCTTTTAATAATGATGATCATAATAAAGAAGAATCATTAGTAAAAAAAAAGCAATAATAATAATGATTATTTTAATCAATATCATCAAGAAATTGATGTTTCCAAGAAGTCCATGTCAAGTTCAGGAACCTTTATGGGTTCATCATCACAAATCCATTTGTCATACAACCACCAGCAACATCAACAGAACCATCAGATCCTATCATTTCAACAAATACTGAAACAAGCCTTGTTGACCTTTTTGATAGCTTTTTGGACTATGATTGGGGTTCAGGTGAAAATTCTTCATCAGTTCATCAATAATAACAATTTTCAAATGGTATTTGCTAAATGATGTTATCATCTTGGAATTTATTTGTTGTTGTTTATTAAATGAAAAACAGCAATATTTAAAATCGCCCGTAAAGACTTTACATGGTTGTACCTGAAGCATGTTCCACATGATTGGAGAAAATATCCACCATAACAAACATTTATTTTTGTATATGATTAATATTTTTATTCTTTTTTTATTCTATTTACTATTACTATTACTATTATTAACAGATTAAGATTTTATTGTTATTCCTACCAATGATTTCTCTACAGGAATTTCTCCTTTGTTTTTTTTATTAATGGTGTTAATTCCCAGATCAAAATTAAAAGTTTCTCCACAGAAATTTTCTTTGTTGATTTATATGAATTATTGTTAACAGTATTAATTCCCAGATCAAAACTACATATAAATGTATGACATTAAAGGTTTCTCTGCAGGGATTTTCTCTTTTACTTGACTATTTACATCAAATGACCCCATTTAATTTCTGTTGGATTGTTAATGTCATTATGATTAAAAAAAACTTCGTCCATGCTGCTAATTTCACCTTCTCAAGGAGACTTATCATTTCAGTAATAGTAGTGTAAATATTATTGCTATTATCTACTGGTTGAGTTGAAGCAGATTTATCTGAAAATGTTAAATCCATTATAAATCTTTGAATGAGATGTTGAACAAAATATTGATGATTTTTTTTTTGTAAATCTTTGCTAATAAAACAAAATAGGGCCTAAATTTTTCATAAATTTCTTGTTTAGAACAAGGAAAAAATTATAATATTGACAGAAACATGCACCAAATTTATTTGTATTATAATAATGATGATTATAATTATAAAGGTGATGGTGACGACAATAAGGATTCAATGAAAATGAAAGTGATAGGGTTGGTGGTATCAACATAACCAGATTTAAAAAAACACACTGAAAAAATCAATGTCAACATGAGCCAGATGGTAAAACAGTTTGTATTCGCAATGTTTGTTGTATTGATAAAAACTATTGAAGATTAGGAATTGCTACAATTTTATTGAGAGAGTATACCGAAAGAACATTATTATTATTAATAAAAGATGATGGTAATGATATGAAAAATTACATGAAAATATTTGTTTAATGGCTCATAAGTTGATTAGCAAGAGTGAAGTTGTTTGTGGTTTGCATATATTTTCTATTTCTTAACCTTTATAAATTTAATCATTTTTACCAATTTAAATTAATATTATATATACATGATTAAAGTAAGATTTTTTTAAATAACAAAGTATCTAGCAAATTTTTTAGATTTTTTTTTTAGATTCTTCATATTTTCCTTCTTTTCATAACATCACAACTTATCTATATTTCTTTATAATCTTTGAATTTCACCCAAAAAATATATTCAAATCTCAAAACATCAGGAACCAAAGCTGAATCTCTTAAATAAAAAGATCTTGCCAAATCTGTATTAATTAAATATTTATAGAACCCTAAAGGTCTAATTAATAATTCTATAATTATGTACCATACTAATGCAAATATTGATCCAAATAAATTACCAAATAATACTTGTTTTGTTGTATGATAATTTAAATAAATCCTAATACAAATAAGTAATGTCAATTTTGATTAATATATTGAGATATATATAAATAAATAGATAGGTATGTGTGAGAGATCCTTGATTACCTTGAATAAGAAACTAATATTGAAAAAATTATTAAAAAACATGCAATTGGAAATTTCCATTTGTTATTCCTAAATGTTATTCTATAATTATAATAATCATATTATTGTTATTATTATATAAATAAATATATTATCACTTTTAATCATTTATTTCAGCTAATAAAAAAAAACCTGTTATATAAATATAAAATTGCAAAAATTGCAAAAAAGGCAATAAATTGTGCATGAGATGATGGCATACCATATCCAGTACCAAGTTTATCTATTATCCAAATAACAATAATGTAAATATACAAAATCACTCACTCACTCAACCAACCAACCAACCAACCAACCATTACTAACTAACCTGTTGGTCTCTTTTCTCTCAGCCATCTTTTCAAAATGGCATTAAATAGTTCACAAATTGATTGTCCTATGAAAATGTTAATACCAGCAACTTCTCTTCTGGAAACTATTACGGTTACATATGCCACCATGATTGCTAAAGGTGATAAAGTTATATACGCAAATATGTATGCAATTGGGTCAGTTGAATCGAATTCTACATGTGTTAATGATAATGAAGTCAATGAAATATTATTTGACATTTTGCTTTTATTTGTTTCTTGGATAACAATTAAATTATTTTTGTTACATATTATTAATTTTCTCCAACCAAATTTGGTGCATTTCCGAAATTTAAAAATGTCGATCGCACATGACTGGAAAATTAAAAAAAGAAAACGTGTTTACATAATTTTTTAGAGAAAAAAAATAAAAAAAAATTTTTTTTATATTTATAAAAAAAAAAAAAATATATAATTATAAAACACATAAAATAATAAAAACACAATTCTTTGTAGTAAATACCCTGTCTAGAAGGTTTCTGTGGTTCATAAATACTTTTTCTGAATTAAAGTATATATATACTTGTATGTCTGCCAATTCCTTGGTAGACAATTAATTACCTAAAAATTAATACAATGGAAAATCATGAAAACTCTGCAAGATTGCAAAATGGACTTGAAAATGTCAGTAATAATGATGTTGATTCTGATATGAATTTAGATCAAAGTGAAGATAAGGATTGGACTGTTGTCAAAAGAAAGGAACGTTTTATTGTTCAAATTGAAGCTGAAAATGTCCCTGGTGGTAATAATAATGCAAAACTTGCATCAGCTTCAAAAGTATTATCAAACATTCAGCCCCTTGTTGGCTTAAATATTAAATATATTAAAGGAATCAAATATATTGTAGCAACCTTTGGAACAAAAGAAAATGCAGATAAGGCATGTGAACTACCTTTTGCAGAAAATAGTGACTTTAAATTTCAAACACATGAAGAAATATCTGTCCAAGATTATCGACAAAGAACTATTAGCATAAGAGATTTACCCTTAACTGCAAAAAAAGAAGTTTTAATGAATATTCTATCTTCTTATGGAGAAATTACAAATATTAAAATGAGAGCACAAGGAACTTGGTATAAAGCACAAATTACATTCAAAGATAAAGAATCCATGAGCAAACTTGGTGATAAATGGTCAATTATGTACTTAAAAGATAGTTGTAGAATTGCACCATTGGATGTTACCAAAGAAGAAATAGACGAAAGAAATAGTCGTACTCTAAAACTCACTAATCTGCCATATGGCACAACAGCATATGATTTACATGATATTATGTTAGCAGTAAAGGCTAAAACTTGTTTTATTACAAGAACAAGACAACAATACACCAGAAAAAGATTTGCTTACATAACTTTTGAAAATGATGAAGATATGAAAAATGCATGTCTGACAAATTTTGCCTTCAGAAACAATAATCTCTCTTGGGAAAGTGATGAACACAAAACATGTCATAAATGTGGTAACAGTGATCATTTAATAGCTGTTTGTCCAGAAAAAGAAAAAAATGATGAAATTAAACAAAAAAATGCACGTCTGCAAGGACTTTATCATAAATATAGAGTTCCTCAGCCAAAATCAAATTCACAAAAAGCTCAACAAAGATTTATTGAACCAAATAATTCAATTAAAAGAGTTTCTTATGCAGAAAAAACAAAAAATTCAAAACAAATATTTAAACAAAATGAATCAAATTTAAAAATGAATGTTAATAATAATATTAAAAAAAATGAGAACATAGTAGAAATCATGAAAAACATTCAAAAAGATTTAAAAAAAATAATGCTAGACATAGAAGAAGTAAAGAAGAGAGTAGAAGCATTGGAGAATAATGCTGGCACAAATTTATCAAATACTTCAACTCAACATAAAACAACTGAAAATAAATTTCAAAATAACTCATCTAAAGTTAATTCACAAAAAGGAAATAATAAATTAGATATTTCAATTTTGTCAAAAGGAAAAAATATTCCTTCTACATCCAAACATACACAAAAAAGAAAAAAAATGAATGAATCAAGTGATGAATCTCTTAATGCAGAGATTAATGATGAAATAAATGATGAAATAAATGAATTGAAAATTAAACAAAATAATATTGAACACAACACAAAACAAATGAACAAAAAAATAAACAAAATCCTCAATATTTTTGAAAATCAATACCAAAATAATGATGAAATGGATCAAGGTGCTATTAGCACCAGTCAGAATAAATTTTAATTAATTAACTTATGATTAACAACAATAATTCAAATAATATGGGTATAAACAACATAACCAATACCCAAATAAATTTTAACAATAATGAAAATAACATAGAAATTGATGGTAACTTATTAAAAATAGCAAATCATAATGTAATGGGCATGAAAGACCCAGTTAAACAAGAACAAATTATTAATACAATAGAAACTTTACAATTAGATGTTTTAGGTTTATCTGAAACAAATTTAAATAATAGAACTGCGTCACATATATATAAAAATAATAAAAATTATTCATCTTTTTGGAGCTGTTCAGAAGACAAACCAATAGGTTCTGGGGTTGGGATAATTATACACAATAAACTAGCAAAATACATTCAAAAATCAACTGAATTCAAAGGACGTACAATATTTATAGATTTATTTTTACGAGGAAATGTTAAGATTAGAATTATACAAATTTATAACTATGCAAATTTAAGTATGAAAAAAGAAAAATTGGAATTATATGAATACATTATAAATATCATAAAACAAGCAAAAAATGAAAATTTCTACATAATCACAATGGGAGATTTTAACTTATCACCAGAAAAAATGAATGAATTAAAAATAAAAAATAGAATACTTCCTTATCAGTACAAACTAATAGAGGAACTTGAAAACACAAATTTCACAGATGCATATGAAATTTGTCACGAACAAAAAATACCAACATACAAAAGTGGAGAAAACAGCTCTCGAATTGATTTATGTTGGTTTTCAAATAATTTGCTATCAGACTTCCTTTATTGTAGCAACTATCACATTTATTTATATCCTTCAGATCACAATATGATCATCACATACTTTTCAACTGATGGTATATTAAAATATCAACAAGAAGCCAAAGCTAAACGTTATCAAACTAAGAGAAGAATTTTTAAATATGATAATATGTCCAAAGAAAAATGGAAAGATTTTGCAAACTACTCTAATGAATTATTCAAAAAAAGTTTCTTGTATAAAGAAAATGCTAAGATAATTAATCAAATAACACTTGACAAAACATGGAATAAAATTAAAGAGATAATTTTGCAAGCTGCAGAAAAACACATTCCCTATAAATGGACAACTAATATAAAATCAAATCAAAAAGATAAATCACCAGCATTAAAACAACATTATTTTCATTTAAAATCTATCAGTAAAATTCTACTAAGATTAGGAAAACGCAAAATTAGCAGTAAAGGTTTTCCAAATAATATAGAATGGAATGAAATGAAAACAAATCTTGAGAGCATTTCAAATAACATTAAATATCCACTAGAAGAAATTGATATAAATATTAATGTCAATAATATCAGCAAAATAAAAAAAATCACTTTTAAAATATATAACACACTATCTACAATATGTAAAATAAAAGAAAAACAAGTAAAACAAGAACAAATTAATTTATTAATCAATAAAAGATGTGAAAACTACAAGGATGATCAAAGCACAATGATTGACTCCATTTTGGAAAGAAATCATAAACGAATAATTCTAGACAGGGTTCTTTTTAAAGAAAATAACAACCTAATCTTAACAACAGATCCTGAAAAAATTAAAGCAATAACAAATCAACATTTTCAAAATGTAGCTAGAGGAAAAAATGAAATAAAACAAATCAATAATTATTGGAAAAATCAATATCTTCCAAAAGAAGAAATTAACTCTGATATTTATAAAAATGTAATGGATCCACCCACATACAAGGAATGGAAACAGGTAATAACAACTCTACCAAATAACAAAGCTACTGGTCCCTCTAAAATCAGCAATGAAATGATCAAACATCTGGGAAAGAATTTTGGAAGATGTCTCTGGAAATTAATTTCTGCATGTTTTGAGATGAATGAAATACCAAACCAATGGAGAATAGCAACAATTTACCCCATCCCTAAACCAATGGATTGGGAATGTTTTTTAGATAAAACAAGACCTATAACTCTTTTGGAAACAGTAAGGAAAGCAATGGTGAAAATCCTAAATAAACGACTTTCTGAAATATTAGCAAAAAATAATATCCTAAAAGGAGATAATTTTGCTGGATTACCTGGTGGTTCAACTTTTGAACCAATCAGAGCACTTAATTCCATAATTGAAGAGTCCAATGAATACAAAAAAGAGATTTGGATTTTATTTCAGGACCTTTCCAAAGCATACGATTGTGTTAATATCAGAATGCTAGAAAAAGCTATGCAACGTCTCAAATTTCCTCAAAAATGCATAAATCTCATAATAAACCTTTTTACAAAAAGGAAAAATAAAGTTATCACATGTCATGGCGAGACAGATCCATATGAAGTATTGGTTGGAATTGACCAGGGTGAGGTCATTTCACCACTTTTGTGGTGTATTTATTATGATCCACTTTTGTGTGAAATAAAAAAACAAAAAAATATTGGTTACAAAATGGAAGTAAATTGGAAAGCAGACATATCAAAACCTGAAATAGCAAAAATATCTGCAGAAATATCAACACTCGCATACATGGATGATACAACCTGGATCAC